ATGAATAATGGCTTATCCTCCCCTCAAAGTCACCATGTCTCAGATTAAATTTCTCTTTCCTTCTTGACAAGTTAACTTACTTGGCTCCCCGGTTTGTTAGTAGTACAATCATTAGAAGAGAGTGAGGCCCTAGCCCAGGGGTGGGCAAACTTTTTGACTGGAGGGCCACAATGGGTTCTTAAACTGGACCGGAGGGCCGGAACAAAAGCATGGATGGAGTGTTTGTGTGAACTAATATAAATTCAAAGTAGACATCATTACATAAAAGGGTACGGTCTTTTTTTTTTTTTTAGTTTTATTCATTTCAAACAGGCCGGATCCGGCACGCAGACCGTAGTTTGCCCACGGCTGCCGATTTGGCTCACTGGATAGAGCGTCGACCTGCAGACTGAAGGGTTTCGGGTTCGATTTCAGTCAAGGGCATGCACCTTGGTTGCAGGCTTGATCCCTGGCTCGAGTCAGGGCACATGAGGGAGACAACCAATTGATGTGTCTCTCTCATATCAATGTTTCTCTCTCTGTGTGTGTGTCTCCCCCTCCCTTCCACTCTCTCTAAAAATCAATGGAAAAAATGTCCTCGGGTGAGAATTAACAACAACAACAATAAAAAGAGAGTGAGGTATAAGGGCTTTCCATCTTCTGACTTTAAATCCTGCCTCGATCATTTACTAGCCCCGGGATGATAGCAGTTTGCTTCATCTCTCCACACCTCAGTCTCCTTGCTGTGATGTGGGATTGGAGGCTTGTGGACCGTCTGGCAACCCCAGGACTGTCTGGGAGGCCAATAAACAGCTGCTGCTCATCTTAGCTTATGTAACAACATGTTAGGTGGCTTATAGTTGTCTGTGGTGCCTCTTTTGTCATCTGCTTCCTCTCCCACAATGACCATCTGATATTTGACCTGTCCAAACTTTCTCCCAAGTATCACCTGTACTTGCTTCACCAGCCTCATCTCATCTCCCCACTTAATGAAACAGATTCTAACCGGTTTCTCTGCTTCAGATTTTTCTTCCTATCTTCTATGCACGACACGCTCTGAGGAGGCTCTAGAATTCCTCCAGCGAAGAGGCTCAGGGTGGCATCTTGGGCTCCCCATGGAGTGGGGAGGAGGGGGACTAGTCTTGAAGCTGCGTATGCATGTCACTAAATGTCAGCTGTCCACGTGAAAGCCGGGGGAAGGGAGCTTGGCGGATATAAAGGGTATGAAGTTCTCCATCCTTGGCTAACCCCTGGGGTCACCTGGGCAAAAGCTGCCAATTTCTTAAAGTATAGTTCCCATCAAGGTCCGTTTTGCTAATTTTTTTTCAATGAGTTTGGAAAAGCTCCAGGAGCCTTTGCCTGGATGCAGGGCTCTTCACAATTTCGCTTCAGGCTAACTGTCCCAGGCCATTTTGCTCCAAGTCCAGCTTTTCATTTCATGTACTTCACGCCCTCTGGATACACCAGCTCCACATCTTGGTCCAGGAGCGGCTCCCCAGGTTCTTTTATCTGATGAAAGTCCTCCCTGAAGGCCTGGCTCAGAAGTTCTTCTCCCCAGCGATCCTCACCCACCCAGCCTGCGGGGCGCCATCCCTTCCTGGAATACCCAGTGCTTCTTCTTGTCAGGATCATTTATCCTGCAATTACATAACTTTCGAGTATTGTTGTTGAAAGTTTTCACGTGTTGATGTTGTCTCTCCCACTGGCCCGAGATGCCCATTTACGGTAAGGACGACCACATCCCCTTTGAGTCCCCTGGCACGCAGCCCGAGCCTGTGGGACACAGGGGTGGTAAGCAATGGGTTTGCTGAGTTACAGAGCCACCCCAGAGGCACTCTGCTCTCTGACCCACAGATGCACAACAACAGACAACAGGCTTCGGAAGTAGGGAGTTATCTAGCTCTAGGGGCCAAGGATGCTCCCCAGGGAATAGGTGTCATTTATCTACTGGCTGTAGGCTTTGGACCCGGGAAACCAAGTGTCTGTGACCCAGTCTCAGCCTGCGCACACCATTCCCTGTGCTGACGAAGAACTTGGAGCTGACCACATGGTGACAGACCCTCTGTCTTCCAGTGCACACCGCCCCGAGGCAATCACGGTGTTACCAGGTTCATGAGGAGGCCACCAGCAGTGGGGGTTAGAAGTGTGGTTTTAAAACTTTTGCAAAAATATATCTTTTAGAGATAAGGAAAATAAAGAATCTGGTAAAGAATTGTACCAGAGGGGAGGCGAGGAGGATCTGGTAAAGAATCCAATAATTCTTTTTTTTAAAGAAAGATATTTTAAAATTGATTTTTAGAGAGAGAAAGGGAGGGGGGAGAGAGAGAGAAACACTGATGTGAGATAGTAACATCGATTGGCTGTCTCCTGCACAAACCCAACTGGGAATCAAGCCCACAACTCGGGCATGTGCCCGGACCAGGAATCACACCCCCAGGCGCATGGGATGACACCCAACCAACTGAGCCACACAGGCCAGGGCTCCAAGAATTCTTTGTACTATTTTTATAACTTTTCTGTAAATCTGAAAGTATATCAGAATCCTATCTAATAAAAGAGAAACATGGTAATTAGCGTACGACCGCTACCCTTCCCATTGGCTAATCAGGGAGATATGCAAATTAACTGCCAGCCAAGATGGCGGCCGGCAGCCAGGCAGCTGACGCAAACAGGGAGGCTTGCTTGCTTCAGTGACGGAGGGAGCCAACCTTCCCCTCCTGCCTTGCTGGCCTCTCAGCTGCACTCTAAGCAACATTGTAACAAATATAGAAGCTAAACAAAACCCAGGGCTTCAGCCAGCAGGACCGCAACATTGTTTCAAATACAGAAGGGTAAACAAAGGCCAGAAACCTGCTTTCAGCAGCGGAGGTCTCATAGCTGGAGCCGAGCCTCAGAGCTAAATTTAAAGCTGGCCCAGAATTTAAAGAAAAAGGAAAAAAGGACAGGTTGGGAGCTTCAGTCACCCGCCAGCCTGAAAATGGCCCTCAGCCCCTCACCCAGGCTGGCCAGTCCCCTCACCCAAGCGGGACCTCCACCCTGATCCAGGACACCCTTCAGGGCAAACCAGCAGGCCCCCACCCGTGCACCAGGCTTCTATCCTATATAGTAAAAGGGTAATATGCCTCCCAGCACCGGGATCAGCGTGACAGGGGGCAGTGACCAAACCCCCTGATCACCCTGCAGCTCTGTGTGTGACAGGGGGTGTGGCCACAACCTCCCTATCCGCCCTGCTCTGTACCTGACAGGGGGGAGCTCCCCAACCCCCTGATCGCCCTGCGGCCCTGCTCTGAGCCCGACCAGGGGCTGTACCTAGGGACTGGGCCTGCCCTCTGCCACCTGGGAGCAGGCCTAAGCCAGCAGGTCGTTATCTCACGAGGGGTCCCAGACTGCAAGAGGGCACAGGCCGGGCTGAGGGACCTCCTCTCCCCCCTGAGTGCACAAATTTTTGAGCACCGGGCCTCTAGTATTAAATAAAAATTTAAAGCAGAAATAACAAAAGCCACCTTCTCTATATAGTGTCCCTCCCACCTTCCTCAGCCTTTAAGAAGAATTAACATTTTAACACATTCCTATACAAATTATATGTGTGAATATTTCTCCTATTAAACAGGAAGTGTAACTTGGAAAATGGAAGTACTCAAAGTCAAAGAGCACTTTGAAATATTTTATAACATAAATAATATTTTAGGGTGCTAATATTGTAATGGGGGTTTTAATACTGTATGATCTGGGCAAGATATTTAACCTCTCTAGGTTACAGTTTCCTCATCTTTAAAAATTGAATACAAATGCCCATCCCTTAGCATTGTCATAGGCATTAAATAAGAAGTTAAATATTAAGCAATTCATCTAATTCCTGCTTCACAGTCGGTGCCATGACATACTAGTGCCAATGTTTGAGAAATGCTGAAACCAAGTGCTCCGCACTCTGTGTCCTGGACACCTGAAGGCCGCCTGGAGCAGAGCAGCTGCATAAGGAACAGTTATTGAGGAAGCCGGCAGGGAGGCCTGAATCAGTGCTGCAAACAGCCTTCTCGGTTTCTTCGTGACTTCGCAAGAGCCCCTTGCTGTCTCCAGGCCTCTGCTTTCCTCATCTGTGAAATGGGTTGGTTTTCATGACAACCAGAGGACTGATTAGAGAGGACGATACAGATGCTGGGGTCTAAGACCCTTGGAGAAAGGACTGGGCCAAGGGCAGGTGTGAGACCCAGCAGCCTGCTGGGCGGGGAGTTCATCTCTCACAGCCCAGCCGCAGCTTCCCAGAGCTCGGCCGCTGGTGCGGTGGAGGGCGAGCGGTCTCTCAGGCCTCTCTGTGGGCGAAGAAGCCACTGCTTGGGGACATCCAGAGGCTGGGGTCAGAGAGCCCGGACAGTGTGCATGGCTCGAGGGGGAGCTGGGGGCAGCAGAGACCTGAGCGAGGCCACTACCCCATCCCCTCCCGCTGGTGCTCAAGGATGGACCCAGGACCTCCCACCCCCACCCCTTCCTGGGCTCCTGGAGCCCCAGCACGTCCTGGTGCGGCGCAGGCATGACCTCTGCCTCCTGCTGTCTCTGGAGGCCAGAGCCCTGGCATGGGGTTTGCTCCAGGGCATCCGAGAACAGAGCCAGGACCGGTGGGCCAGCTCAGCGCCACGCGGATCTGCGTAGATCCTGACCGCAGACCCCGGAGCCCACGCGAAGGGCAAGGCCTTCGGCGAAGGTGGCCGTGGGGACAGAGTGAGGAGGGGACAGCCGCGCTGCTGGCCGCCCGCTGCCCCGGGGCTCAGGTCTGCGTGGTCGGTCTGTGGGTCTGCAGCTTCCTGCTGACCAAGCCAGGTGGGGCCCGAAGAGGGGAGAGAAGAGGGGGCGAGGGGGCGAGGGGGCGAGGGGGCGAGGGGGCGAGGGGGCGAGGGGGCGAGAGGGGAGGCCAGGAGGATTTTAGTAATAGAGAGGGGAGGGGAGGGGAGGGGAGGGAGGGGGCGGGGAGAGAAGCGGTTTGGGAGAGAAGTGGAAGCGGAGGGAGAGTCTGTGAGCGAGAAAGAGATGCCAGACGAACGCGGGGCGGCCGCAGTGAGAACACAGAGCCGCCTGCAGGGCCTCGGCCCGGGCGCTTAGCCGAGGGTCCCCGACTTTCTCCACCGGAGGCAGCCCTACCGCGCCCCGCAGCCCAGCGCCTGCGGCCGAGGTGGGGCCCGGCGGCCCGCTCCCCGCCGCGCACCCCGAGGCGGGAGGCGGGGGCGGGGGAGGGAGGGGCTGCCGGGAGGAGGCGGCCATGTGGTTGCAGCTCGCTCTATTTTTTTCCCTCTTTCTTCACTCCTTCTTTACAAACAGGGTAGAAGTGTTCCAGGAGCGGCAGCGCCTTTCCGCCTCGCTCCCCCCGCCCTGGTCCCCGCTCCCGTCTGGGCGCCGGCCGGTGGGGCGCGCGAAGCCCCCTGCGAGCGGGCGCGGGGCGCGGGCCTCCCGCGGCGGCACATGCCGCAGGCGCCCCGCCAGCCCCCCAGGCGCCCCGCCAGCTCGCCCACCGCCCCGGAGCCGCGCCGCGGCTGAGCGGGAGGACCCGCGCGCTCCGCTCCGCACCGGGATGGCCCCGCTCCTGCTCTGGCTGGGTGAGTGCCCGGGGCCCGGGGCGCGGGGCGGGGGCCGGGCGGGAGACCGAGGACCCGCGAACCTCCGCGTCCGGGAGACGCGGGCGCTGGACGGCTGCCCCGGAGGCAGCCCGACTCCTCTCCCGGCCTCCAGCTGCGGGAGCACATCTGGCCGGGGGCGAACTCGGGCCGGAGGGTCCTGGTCCAGCCTGGCGCGCACCGTTGGCGGCGGAGGGGCTTCGCTTTGGAGGGCGCCCTCTCCGGAGGGTCTGGGCAGCGGGGGCCGGGGAGGGAGGGTTTCCTCGGGAGTCTGTGCCAGGTTCCCGAGGGCCGGGGGAGGGTTTTGTTTCAAACAGGCGCCTCCAAGGGCCCAGATTGGAAACAGATGTGTTGCAGGGTCAGCAGGAGGGAAGGGGAAGCGACGGGCGAGGAGAGGAGGAGCGGGGAGGGCAGGCACCAGGGAGCCCGGAGGCCGGGACCGGGGGGAGAGGACGGACGGGACTGGAGGGACAGTGAAGGCGGAGGAAGGGACACGACGCAGAAGAGCAAGACCGAGGGAGCAGGAGCCAAGAGAGTCGGGAGCAGACGGAGAGCAGGGCTGGGAGAGAGGAACGGAGAGGACGGCTCTGGGCGACGGAAGCGCCGCCCGCGCCCCTGTCACCCCCCAGGAGTCCTGAGGCTGCGGGGGCCCCGACGCCCCAGGCTGCAGGGTGCGACGCCCAGGCTGCAGGGTGCGGGGCAGCACCTCCAGGCTGTGCGCGCGGGAGGCCGGAGCTGACCGGGAGCCTGTGAATACCTGAGATGCCAGGGCCTGCGCGGGCAGGAAAAGGAAAAAACTCACTTATACAGGAGCGAAGTGCGGGCTCACCTGGAGACAGGACCACACCTCAACCAGAATTCAGAAAGGCGGGAGCCAGCCCCTGTGGTAGAGTGAGCACCTGGCCCCCAGAGAACTAGCCCTGGTCTTGACCTGACCATCCGGGCGACCTTGGACAGTCTATTCACTACCTGGGGCTTCAGTTTCCTTAGCTCGAACAGGACCCACATGGGTCCGAAGCCCCTCCCGGGCCCCAAGGCCACACAGCCTGACTCGCCTGGGCTCTGACAGGCCTGATGTCTGGGAACCTCAAACGTGGGTGAAAAGGCACTAAAGTCACCCTGAACTAGCTGCCTAGGAAGCTCCCCCCTCTCTCTTTTGCTCCCCCCTCCTTTGTTTTTAAAACCTTACAAACCAACGAGGCTGTCTGCCTGGGCCAGGGGAGAGGTGAGGAGGCGGACTGGCTGGACTGTTGCTCACGTGGGGCAGGTGAGGGGCCACGTTCTCTGAGCTCTTCCAGGTGCCGCCGGGTGTGGCAGTCCTGCTTCCCGCACAGCGGGCATCTCTAGATAGCGCCTCTGCCCCTGAGCTTCCAGGAGACTCGAACGTCAGAGCTGCCTTTTTAAAAACAGCGGCCATTCCTTAAGCACTTGTTACTGAACGCATTGTATGTACTATCTTGTTAACGCACTTATTTGTATGCCAACCCTGTTGGCCACCCACTTCATTCCCATTTTACAGATGAAAACAGCAAGGTGGAAAGAGGCCGGATAACCTGCTCAAGGCCATAAGCTCATAATTAGCAGAGATGGGATTTGACTGTAGGTTGTCTGCCTCCAGGGATTGCTCACAAAACCGCCTTCCGTCACCGCTCTTGGTGACACTCTCTGTGGTGACGTCCAGAGGAGTCCTGTGCATGGACCGGGAGCTGTCAGTGTGCTCCTGCCTGCGGGAGGGACCTGGGACGGGAAGTGGCACCTTCGGGCACCAAGTGCAAGGTGGCTCTGGCCCACAGTCACTGACATCGGCGGGCCTTGATGATGGTTCTCCTCTTAGTTCATGAAAGAGAAACTGACCAAGACATGAATCAAAAGATGCCGCTGATTCCCTGCCCTTCCGTATCGGGTGCCTCCTGTGTGTAATCACGCCTCTGGCTGGTACTCTGTCTTTATAATAGAAGCTGCCCCTCATGATTTCCTTCTCTTCTCAGTTGTCTTTACAAACTAAAAGCCACGTAGAAGGGAAAAGATGGACCGCTGACTTGGAATTCTGCCCAAGCAGAAGCTCAGCATTCACGCCTGCTGTAAAGCTTTTCCACGTCTATGCTTGCGGCACACAGGCTCAGACTCATGACATCCAAGCCCTAAGTTGATGAAACTGTTCAAGTAAGAAGTCACAGGGGAGATGAGCTAAAGGTCAGGACAAGGGACAAGGCAGGAGGCCTGAGATGAGGTCGGTAAACAGACAGGCATCTGAGGGGAGCAACACTGAAGGAACCCCTCGCCGCTGACAGCCCCCATGGGCCGGAGCCTTGGGGAGCCCTCCTGTGGGCTGGATGACCCTCATTTGCAGAGTGGCTTTGGGCCATGGTGTTCCTGAGCACCCGTAGCCAAGCCAGGAAGAAAACCCTCAGAGTTGCCTGAATCCTGAAATTATCTACTAATCCCTGAAGGAGCAGCTCCGAGGCTGCTTCTGGCCGCTGCGGGGTGGGGTCTGGCCTCTCTCTTCTAGGGAATGCTCAGTCTTGAGAGGGAGTCGGGAGGGCAGAATCGCCGTCCGAACGAGGATGGATCTGCCAATGGATCAAATCAAATGCCCCGCCTCTCTGGATGAATAAAAAACACTACCATGAGCTCTGTGGAGGAGAGGGAAGGGAGACTTCATGGGCTCCCCAAACTCCAACCCCTCTTCTGACTACCCCCCCCCCCGCCCCCCGCTCCACCCCGGAGCTCAGGTCCTCATCATTCCACCTGAGCTTTCCTCCTGGACTTCTGTAGTAGCTGCCACGTTGACCTCCTGCCTGAATTCTCTTCTCTACGCTGCAGACTGCGGCCGTGCAACCTTGTAGAACAGCTGGTGTGAAGCAAAGCATTTGGATTAGGAATCTGGCAAGCTTTCTTGGTTCTTGTTCTGACTCTTTTGTCTATCACATGCTGTTGAAGGGAACTTGAGTTCAGAATTTCAATAATTCTATGATTTCACTCCACACTTCCATAAACCTTTATTAGTCTCCATTGCCTATAATACTGAGTACAAACACTTCATTCTCATATTGAAGATTTTATAGAATACTAGGGGCCCAGTGCACGAATTCATGCACCTTGAAAGGAACTGTGGGCCGTGAGGCTGCGATGGGCACAGGGGCAGGTCTTGGCCCATTCTCCACACCCACGCCCAGCTCTTCCCACCGAGGCTCCCTGTCCCCTGTCTGCCGGCAGCCCCGCTCCTGCCGCTGCCACTCCCATGCGCTGCCGGCACCGGCCCCACTCGCATCCGCTGATGGCGTGGAGTGACTGGGGCAGGTGCCAGCAGTGGGTGCAAGCGGGACTGGCGCCATCAGTGGGTGCAGGTGGCAGCTGCTGCCCCAATCACCCCTCAGGAGCAGGTGGAGGTGGAGAAGCCCTCAGGGGCAGTTGGGGCCAGCAGCTGCCACTCGCACCCACTGATAGCACCAAGCGATCGGGACCGGCACCAAGCGATCGGGACTGGCACCGGGCGCCGGCAGAGGGTGCGAGTGGTGGCTCTGGCACTGGCTGCGGGTGTGAGCGGGGCCAGTGCTGGCAGCAGGTGCGAGCGCTGGGTAGGACCATGGCATGTGGGAGCAAAGAATTTTCAGTAACCACCAGAAGCTCACCCCGATGACAGCAACTGGTGCCCCACCTTAGTCTGGTGCCCCCACTCACCTGCTCCACCATCCCACCATGGCTGACGCCCACCATGTTGTGCACTCTGCCGCCTGCTGCCAACGCCTGCCATGTTCCGGCGCGCGCCCTGGTGATCAGCACATGTCATAGCTACCAGTTGTTTGGTTGTTCCGCCGTTTGGTCTATTTGCATATTAGGGGTTTATATATATAGACTAGAGGCCCAGTGCACGACATTCATACACTGGGGGTGGGGGGTCCCTCAGCCTGGCCTTTGCCCTCTCACAGTCCAGGACCCTTGGGGGATGTCCGCCTGCCAGCTTAGGCCTGATACCCCTAGGGGTTGGGCCTAAGCCAGCAGTCAGATATCCCTCTCGCAGTTCAGGGCTCTCACAGTCTGGGACCCCTCACTTCTTACTGACCGCCTGCAACGGAGGTGGGGGAGGCTCCCGCCACTGCTGCTGTGCTCACCAGCTGTGAGCTCGGCTCAGGGCTTCTGGCTGAGCACCGCTTCCCCTGTGGGAATGCACTGACCACCAGGGGGGAGCTCCTGCATTCAGAGTCAGTGTGTGTCATAGGGACAGGTCGTTTTGCCATTCAGTCAATTTGCATATTAGGGTTTTATTATATAGGATCATTCCTCTCCTCTCCTCCCTGTCCCCAGACAGCTCTCCAGAGAACCTCGATTTCTTCTTGTGCCCTAACCATGTTGCATGCTTCTTTCAGTTCTATGCTTGTGTTTATGGTCATCCCTTCGCCAAAAGTGCCCTGTTACTCTCCACCCTTACAGATCAAAATGTTGTTTACCCTCCAAGTCTCACCTCAAATACCACCTCCTCCAAATGCCCATCCATGATTTCACCAACAGAATATATTCCTTCCTCTCTTGGAATCCCAGTAGCCTTTCTGTTCTGCTACCTTTGCAGCATACTGATCTAAATGCGTATCTACTACCCCAGTTAGACTGTCGGTTCCGTGTCTCATTCACCTGTGCTCCACTTTCCAAACCTTACGTAAACTAAATGCTTGTGAACTATTTGTTGAGATAATTGGATTTTTGGAACACTTTAAAGATGAAAGATTTAAAGAATTATTAATCTGTGGGATGATACAGTTGTGAGGAGCCCAGTTTTAATTCAGCTTGTTTTGTGCTTTCTTGTCTATTAATGCGAAAATAGGATCAGGACTATTTTTTAAAATTATGCATAGAGCAGCCTAGCTGGTTTGGCTCAGTGGATAGAGTGTCGGCCTGTGGACTGAAGGGTCCCGGGTTTAAATCTGGTCAAGGTTACATGTCCGTGTTGTGGCTCAATCCCCAGTGGGGGGTGTGCAGGAGGCAGC